TTATGTTGATGAGCACTCCTTCTATACCTAGTTTCTTCAGAACTTTATCATAAAAGGGTGTTTGACTTTATCAAAGGCTTTTCTGGGGTCAATTATGAGGATCATACAGTTTTTGTATATATTGTATTATGTTTATGGATTTACATATGTTGATCCATCCTTGCATCCCTGGAATGAAACCAACTTGATAATGGGGTATGACCTTTTTGACAAATTGTTGAATTCTGTTTGCCAATATTTTGTTGAGAATCTTTGCATGTGTATTCATCAAAGGTATTTATCTATAATTCTCTTTCCTGCTTGTGTATTTGTTGGGTTTTGGAATGAATGTAATGGCTTCATAGAATGAGTTTTGTAGTGCTACTTCCTAGAAAAGTTTGAGAAGTACTGTTATTAGTTTTTCTTTAAAGGTTTGGTAAAATTTGGCCATGAATTTGGCAGGTCCTGGGCTTTTCTTTGTAGGGAGATGCTTTATTACTTCTTCAATTTCATTTTAAGTAATAGGACTATTTAGGTGTTTAATATCTTCTTGATTCAATTTTGGTTGGTTATGTACATCTAGGAATTTATCCATTTCATCTCAATTTTTCAGCTTACTTGAGATTATAAATTTTGTCAAAAGTCATGTTTTGTATTATTTCTTTATACATGTGTATATATGTAAGTATAGATTTGTGTGTGTATGTGTGCTTGTGGATACATATATACATGCAGAATCCATACTGAAAGAATGATTTCTTCAAGAGGAGGAAATTGGATTTCAGAGAATTTATGAAGTTAATAGCACAGAATTAGTAGAACAGCAGGAACTATGTTTAAACTTCTTAGGTTTATTTTCCAGTCCTTAGCATATATGCTTTTTGCCTTGAGTAATAACTTGATACTCAGGAATAAATGACATGCCTATCATCATTTTTGTCATTTATTAAGTAATTCATTGCTTTAAATTCTTCACTTGTTTACTATGAGCAAAATTTCCCTGAAAATTTTATGTCCCAGAAGAGAATATGTGTGTTTTCTCCCTGGCATATCTCTGAGGAATTCTAGAAGAGCTCAAGGATCTGATACAGGCATTAAAATGTATAATATTCATGGTGTGCCTTAATTGGCCCAGCAGTTCATTTCTGAATGTAAGAAGAAAGACTTTCTATCACTTACAAAATGGTTATTAGTTTTTTTTGCATTATAAATGGAAATGCATGACTTAATATTTAATCTAACACAGGGAATTCAACCTAACTGAAAATTATCCTACAAAAGGAATCAACCCTTCTATGCTATGCAGAGCAACCGGTGAAGATTCCTTAAGTATTTTGATCATTTGTGATTATATTAGTTTTCTAGAGATAAGATAAGAGAATAGGACCCATTGAACTAAGGAATTGCATTCATAATTCAGAAAATTATTAAGTGAACTAAAATATTTATGCTTGGTTACACTACATTTTGGGATTTTTTTTCTTATCAAGGGAATTAAATGAAGTTTAACTTAATTTTCTTGTTAAGCAATTAATCTACAAATAAACTAGCTTTATTTTTCTTATTTCATGGTCTATTTACCCTTGATTGCAGTATGAAAGTTAAAATATATAAGCATGTGATTTTGCATTATTTGTACCAGGTAATAATTCCTGAATGGTTGCATATCATAATGTCCACAATGTGGTTCAGTGGAAAAGCATAAATATGGAAAGAGAGAAACCTCTACTACTAAATGGGTATTGCTTGTGTGACTTGGTTATTTTTTAGCTGGACCTTCAGTTTTCTCTTCAATAAAAGAATTCTGAAGCAGTAATTTTACAGCTTGCTATGAAGATTATACAAGAATATCTACACAGGCTGAAGATGTGGTTCATGTGGTAAGAGCTCTTTCTTAGCACTCAAGGCCCTGAGTTCAGTATACTCCAAAGAAATGTACACAAAGCAGTATTGTTAAAATGTGACAGATGCTGTTGTACCTGTCCTTCCTCTTGAGCTCAGAATTAGCAATACTGTTTCCTTGGATGCCTGGTGATTTTTGTTTCATGACTGAGAATTGAGGACCTAATTTTACTTTGGTCTTCCAGATTGATCAGGTTTTGCTAATATTTCTGTAGTTTATTTTTTCTAACTTCTCTCAAAATGAAATCAGATAGATGTGAGTACAATCAGTTCTAATTTCTTAAAATATTAACTCACAGAGAGGTCTGTGTTCTTGGCACTTTGGATAAAGAATCTAAACTTCACACTTTTTGCCCATAATGCCTCCTGTTCCTTATGGTAAGTTATATAATTGTTCTAATGTGACTTGATTGAGAACAAAATAAAGTTCAATTCATAAACCACTTTATTCCTTTAAAGTCAAATTAGAGAAATCAAAATATAAGAAACATTTTATCCACAAAAAGTAATAGGGGTTGGTAATTATGAATGGTAAATATTTGACTGGTTTTCAATTGGACAGATTGCAGTGACATGGGTGCATTTTTAAGGTCAAATACACTAGAGAATAGCAGGCTTCAATAAGTATAACCACATTAAATTTCACTGTATTATTAACTGTCATATAAAACTATATTTGTAGCTTAAAAAATGAATGCTTAGCTTTTTGTGGAGTATTAATTGTTGAAGGTAAAATGACAAGTTGATATTACACACTCTTATTTACTTAGGTTGTAGCATAGTAAAATTGGAAGTTATGTGTCATGTGTTTTCAACCTTCAAAAATATTTAAAATATTAATTTTAATATATATTAATGTATTTCATGAGTAAGAACTTTTGGCAATGATATCTTCTTCATGTAACTTATACATCACTGAGAATTTTAGCCAATCTTAGTTACTTTTTCACTTTGAAAGATAAGTACTTTTCCAAGCTTACACTCTCATTAAATGCTAAATCTGAGATTTTAATTAGAAGAATTTATAGTCTCAATATAATTTTATTTATCTCCCATAATTTCTTTTGTCAAATTCATTAAGGAATCAAAAATTAGATGTTTAAGAAGAATTTTTCCTGCATTTGTTCACCAATATTTTCATATGCATTTTAAAAAGAAATCCATTTGTGGATCACCTACCAGTATTTTTGTAAAAAATGCCTGCACAGTTTCCATTTCATTTATTTATATCTGCCTAATTCCTGTCCTGTTCTTGGCTATAGAATATATATATGAATATAAGAAGGAGAAAGAAGAAAGGGAATGAGGAATTTTTCAAACATGAATACTATTTGTGATAATCAATATATCAATACATAGAGATACATATATAAATATACTATTAATTGATGGCTCATAGATTATTTTATCAATCCACCACTCAAACTGATACAGAAATTATTATTTTTGTGTGTGTTGATGAATAAGAACTACATTTTCTCAATGTAGAAAGAATTAGAATTTATTTTAATTTAATTCTCTAGAATTCTATCATTTTGTTTGTTTGCTTGTAAATCCCACACTTTTGAAGCTATTGGTCCTCTGTACTAGAAAAATCATCCACAAGGAACTTGGGAAAAAAAAATGTGCCCTCGTCTGCTAAGAACAGTTTTTAAGTGTCTCTCTCATTATCCTCTTGACAGATGGAAGTTTCAATATGACAAACCTGTTGTTAGTATGTTTCACATCTAATATTAATCATTTGTTCACATCTGCCTCCAGGCCAGCTCATTGAACAGCAGATAGTTCTATCCTTTAAATACAGTTTGCTGTATGATATGATGAAGGAAAAATAAAAGGTACCATGATGAAATTTGTTATTTTCTTTGGTGGCAGGGAGTCAGTGCTTCAGACTGAACCCATATCTTCACAAATACTATGCAAGTACTCTAACATTGACCTACAAACCAAGCCCTCATTGTCAAAACTTGTTGCACATTATGGTGGATCTTATGTTTATATATCAATCACAAAAACATTCTGTGCTTATATTGATTATTCTTCAACATTTTTTATTGTTGCAAATTTGTGCTTATATCATGGTTTTGTTTGTTTAGCAATAGCTTCTATGAAAATTGCATTAGTTCTTCTTGAGTGATGTATTTTTACAAGTTTTGAAAACTTAATGAGGTTGATAATATTTTAACAGATTGACAATTGTTTATGACATAAATGCATAAAATATACTCAAGGGTCTTGCATGCATAATCAGAATATAATGTCTGACATCAGGCATTCATATTAAATTAAAATTTAAAAATACCAGTAAAAATATCCACCCAAGGCCAGAAATGAACAACTGGTGATATTTGTTTCAAGAATAAAAAGTGAAAAGCAGAACAAAAAAATTCCAGAGAATTAAAAAGTAACATTGACTTATTTCTTTTTAAAGTTCACCTATATGAATATCATCTTTTCATCCCAGTCATTTTAAAAGCATTAATGGAATGGGTAATTGTCCCATGAAAGAACTTTGGACAGTGTGGAGAGAAGCATTCTGTAATGAGAAATTGAAAAATAAGTATACTGAATATCAATTTGAGTTAACAAATAATATTTACTTAATAACTTTCTCACTGATTTCCACTTTTAAACTCAAACCATTCTGACAATGGTAAATACGTTTGCTGTCATTTTAAAAATGGAGACATTGCAGAAAATTATTCATTGTTTTATATGAAACCTGGCATGAGTCCTCACTCTTTATAAATATGAAGACAAAATAGTATTAAAGCAGGTAAAGAAATTTGATAGAAAATCAACTTGAAAATACGGCTGGGGTTGTAATTCAGTGGTACAAGCCTTATTTTACATGTTGAAGACCTGTGGTATATCTCTAGCATGATAAAAAATTGAAACACAAAAAAATTTTAAAAATACCCTGGATATTAACCTAATTCAATTGACAGATTATTTTAACCTGATAAATTTAGCTAACAACTGAATAACATTTTTTCACTTCATTTAAACAGAATAATGCATCAGTTGGAATGAACTTCATCATCACAGTCAAGCCTATCAATGGCAAGGATTTCATTATGCCTTTCCAACCATGAACATGAGGATATAAATGTGTTGATGCTATATTCACAGGGCATTTCCTTTAAAACATATAAATAACAACTGAAATGCCAAGAATATCATCAGATATGGATTTATACAGAAATGATATCAATGTGACTGAAGTCACCATATTTATACTGATGGGCTTCACAGATGATTTTAAATTACAAGTCATCTTATTTTTACTATTGCTAGGAATCTATCTTCTCACTCTGATAGGGAATTTAGGACTGGTTGTAATGGTAATAGTGGATTCTCAACTCCACAATCCCATGTACTATTTCCTCAGTGTTTTGTCATTCTTAGATGTCTGCTATTCTACAGTTGTTACCCCAAAAATGTTGGCCAATTTCCTGGCAACAAATAAGTCTATTCCATATGCTGGATGTATAACACAAATGCTTCTCTTCATGACATTTGGGACCAAAGAATGCTTTCTTTTGGCTGCAATGGCTTATGACCTCTATATAGCCATCTACAACCCACTTCTGTATTCAGTGAGCATGTCACCTAGAGTCTATGTGCCCCTCATTATTGCTTCTTATGTTGGTGGCTTTTTACATGCTATTATACACACAGTAGCCACATTTAGCCTGTCCTGTGGATCCAATAAAATTAGACATATATTCTGTGATATACCTCCACTACTTGTTATTTCTTGTTCTGACACTAGCATGAACCAGCTTCTACTCTTCTATTGTGTGGGATCTATTGAGATAACCACTATCCTCATTGTCTTAGTCTCCTATGGTTTCATTCTTTTGGCCATTCTGAATATGAATTCTGCTGAAGGGAAGCAAAAAGTGTTCTCTATTTGTGGTTCTCACCTAACTGGAGTGTCCATTTATCATGGAACAATCCTCTTCATGTATGTGAGACCAAGTTCCTTGGAAAATGACACGGTAGTGTCAATATTTTACACTATTGTGATTCCCATGCTCAATCCTATCATATACAGTTTGAGGAACAAAGATGTAAAAGAGGCAATGAAAAAATTCTTTCAGAGAAATTGGCTTAAAAATAAAGTACATTTTCAAATTTGAGTACACCTGCAAAATATGTTGATAATAAATTTGTTCTGTCAGAAAGCAGAGAAAATCTTCATTCTGCATGATGGGGCTTATATTCCAAAAATATTTCCAAATAAATCATTGTTTTACTTCCAATATAACATGCTGGAAATGTCATCATATTATTTTTTCATTCACAGGTCTATGACTGTATTTAAGTTCATCTATATTATTTAATCATTGATATACATGGAATGCTGTTGGTAGTCTTTCTATAACATATTTTTCATGGACTGAACTGCAATGATTTCCTCAGAATACTATGGACTGAAATGTCCCCCACTGGTTATGTTCCAGGATAAAATTAATTCCTCATTCTTTAATTCCTCTCCAATGAAATCTTGCTGAAATTACCCAATTTATCTTCATGACTTTGTGGTAGTCACTTGTACATTATTTTGACCTCTTTGACTTGAAACTATAGATTATCCTCCCATTATTAAAGCATTTGCTCTCCACTGTCCAGTCACAGAAATTAATTAGCTTCATTCTGAAACTCTAAAAATTTTAAATGATAGTATATAATAATGTTTATTGAAAGTACATTCAAGTATCACCAAAACAAAAATATAGCATAGATTATTATCTATGGAGCAACCTAAATGCTGCTACAACATTTGAATAGCGAACCTACTTTGATGCTATGATCCTTGCTCATATGTTACAAGTCCTCACTGAGTTCGATTCTGCTTTGTAGTCTTTGTATGAGAAATGACTTTGCACTTTTTATCACTGCACAAAGTGTATGCTCATTGAAAAAGATCCAGGAAATAGAAACAATCACATTTTGCTTAAGCTTAAACATCTTTTTGCTTTATTTATTTTCTGTGTTTATTTTTGTTCCAAAATTTCTTTACATGAAGAGATATTAAGATAAGACTTGTTTATTGATGGAAATATATCTCTGAAAGGGTGATATTTTTGTATCTGTACAGGAAAAATTACATCAACCATATTAATCAAATTGACTTCCTTTAAGAGTTAATTTAAAAACTGTGTGATTAATATTCAGAATAATTTCCAGTAGTTCAGTTTCTAAATTCTTTGGATTCATATGCAGTAGACACACACCTCTATTTGAACAAGTAAATATTTATCAAAAGAACCTACCCTCAAATTTCCTTAAAAAATGAGCTAAGCCAGGAGTTGTGGAATATGTAATCCAAGCTACTCAGGGGACAGATATAAGAGGATTATGGTTTAAGGCCATCCCAGGTAAAAAAAGTTAATAAGACCATATATCAAAAAATTAGCTTGGCATGGTGGCTCATGACTGCTATAGCAACTGTGCTTGAAGGGGAGGGTACATGATCATAGCCCAAGCCAAAGCTGGAGCTTCTATCAGAAAATAATTAAAGCAAAAGATTTGAGGAATGGCTCACATGGTAGAATACTTGCCTAGCAACCTTGAGGTCTTGAGTACAAATACCAGTGGTAACCCCCCCCTAAAAAGTCCAATTTTCAGAGACAAAATACTTTCATTGCAGGCAAGATTTTATCTTATTTAATCAAACCCTTGAAAGCCACAACACCTTAAAATTTATGTTTAATTTATATAATATTTTAGGGACTGTTTTGTGGAAGAAAGGAATTATCTACCAAAAACATTTTTGAATATTTTTCTTATGAAAAAAGCTGTGCAACTTTCTAAGATCATGTTTTAGGTTTTCAAATTTGCTTAGGAAATATTTTAGCTAATCTTATTCAGTTAATCATTTTTTTTTAAATTGTTTCAATTATCAAAAATAATCATTATCTTAGAAAGGAGAATGTGGGCAAAAGGAACTAAGATAATTTAATTTACATGTAAAACTGTCTGGTTAATATGTTTAAACAAATTCAAAAGGAATCCATGTCCTGGTAATCTGTAATAACATTCCAGTATTCCCCTTTTAATGCCAGCATCACTGAAAGCAAATAATGGGGGTAGTCAGTCTCAATCATGTGCTACTTGTCCATGTCAACATAAAATAATGGAACTATTAAATAATAAGGTTGATAATATGTGATTCTACATATCTCAGCTCAATTTTACTTTCCTTGAAAATAATTCTTCCTGGTGCTGATGGCTCATACCTATAATCCTGGCTACTCAGGAGGCAGAGATCTGGAGGATTACGGTTCAAAGCCAGACCAATCATACAGTTTTCAAAACCTTATCTTGTAAAAACCAAACACAAAAAATGGCTGGTTGAGTGGCTCAGATGTTAACAGCTCCTACCTAACAGCTGTGAGGTTCGGAGTTCAAACCCCAAATCTACCAATAAATAAAATAATAATTCTTTGACTTCTACTGTCCTCATGTGACCTCTTTTTCTTATCACTTGACCATTGGTATTATTTTTTGAGTACTTGATTTCCATTTAGACTTATCGCAGTACTGACACTATAATGTATTCCCATAACCTCATAATTTTATGAGTAGGGCATGAAATTTACCTGGAACATATGATTTACTGAAGAAAATATTTAATAAAAAATGATGAGTCCATGATTGAATTGCTTAATTGCTTAAATTGTTCAATGTGCTTAAAAGTTTCAATGGTGCTAGATGGATTTTTTTCTGTTCATTCGATATACTTTTTGTTTTCTGTTTTTATTTATTCATCATTTATTTTAGAGGGATGTAGGTTTGAAATTCAGGGCTTCACATTTGCAAAACAGGTACTCTACCACTTTAGCCACAACACCACTCCTCAATATACTTTTAAAGTTGTTCTCACTCTTGCAGATTATTTGTCACTCATCTACTAACTCAACTCCCTTTTCCGCAGTCACCAGTTCAGCTTTAATCTTTTTTTACAACAGCTAAATCTTCAGAAGGAAAATTTGAGGGGTTAGGAACATAACACAAGGTCTGTGACCTTGGCTTGCTGAATATATTTACATTAAGCACTTCAGAGCAAAGTCTCTCTGATCTTCTCTAATATTCATTTTTTTCTGCTCCTTTCAGGTCCATGGCAGGTAAGAGATTAGAATTTGTCTTTCCCAAGTGGGGAGGCTTCTTCACCAAACCAAGTCCGAAAGCACACGGAAACATCATTCTGAATTTCTACCAATATTCTGTGTACAAGCTGACCATTAATGAATTCTCTGATACATCTTGTCTGAAAGTAAATAATCTGATGTTCATTACAGAAATGCCCTGACCTATACAAAAGAAAGAAAGAAAAAAGGAAGAAAGGAAAGGACGGAGGGAGGGAGGGAGGAAGGGAGGGAGGGAAGGAGGGAGGGAGGAAAGGAAAAGAAAGAAGAAAGGGAGAGAGACAGAGAAAGAACAAAAGAAAAGAATTAACAAGTAAAAGAGAGACAGAGAGAGAAAGGAGGAGGAAGATAGAGACACAGAAAGAGAACAAAAGAAAGAATGAAATAAAGAAAATGAGAAAGAAAGAAGAGAGAAAGAAAGAAAGAAAGAAAGAAAGAAAGAAAGAAAGAAAGAAAGAAAGAAAGAAAGAAAGAAAAAGAAAGCGAAAGAGAGGCAAGAGGAACCTGACAGACATGCCTGGTGAGGTCCTTCTCCATCAGTCTGTAATTATGAGAACATACCCTCTGTAGATTATATATACATATTTATGAAACATAAAGATGAAAACAGGCCACATTCCCTGGGTCATTAAGTCTTCATTCTTACAAGTACTTGTATAACATAAAACTTTTGTGAAGTATATTTGAATGCTTTCTCAACTAAACTGTTTAGCTAGTTTTATCCTTAGACCTATCTAGAAACTCTAGGCAAAAAATTGTATAAATTCTTTGCACAGATTATTTTGTGTGATCTTCATAACAACTACCATGGCAGGTTTTTGTGTTCTCTTTTTATCACAGATGAGATAAACATGTACAAATATTTTATTTGGCTCAAAGTTCCAGTGCTGTTAAGACTGATGTCAGTATCAAAAGTAAGCTGTTTTGTTACATAGTTTCTGCCTTTAAGCTTGTTACACATAGAATGAAATGATTCGCTGATCTCACTTTGTAATTTACTTATAACTTAAAAAAAAGTAAGAATGGCTGAAAGTCTTCACTTAGTCAAGCACAGAAGTAAAACAAAAAGGAATGCATTAAAAACTTTTGGTACAGTGACTTTACTAGATAACATAAGCCTTGCCATTCTGCATAGAATTTGTAGTTTCTGAGCTTGGGTGATGAAGGATGGATATGATCAATGTACATCACATGTATACATGAAAATAGCATAATGAAATCTACTAAAAATAGCATAATGAAATCTACTAAAAAAGTTAAATAAAGGAAAGAGATGGGAATGGGTGAAAAGAGCATGTAATAGAGGGGGTAATCTGATCAAACAAAATATATGCACGTATGGAAATATGACATTGAAATCCCTTTTACAATTAATATATGCTAATAACTTTTAAATGAAGCAAAGAATTTAGATGAATAAGAGCAGAGAACATGAGATTAGGGAGATATATCTTCATTTTCAGATTCCATTACCTTTCAAAAGTGCAGAATAGAGATACTTCACTGTTAAGAATAATGCAAATATTTAAAATTATAGCAAAGAATAAGACATTAGATTATAGAATATGCATTTCTACACATGATAGAAACTGAATCTCATTTTATCCATGCACTATTTCAAAAAATCATAAAATCTAAAATGTAGCAGTTTTCTGTGAGCCTAATCCAGTGTTGACCATGCATGCACCCAAATAATCTGAAATTCAAGGAAAGAGAAGAGATCTTCAAAAAGAAATAGAGGACACAAATCATTTCCTTTTAGAAAATAGACAATGTTAGAATGGGTGGCTGTCATACAGTTATGTAAAAACAACTCAGATACATTTTAAAGAATTGTTAAAGACAACTATAGTTAGTTGAAAAATAAGACTCCTGAAATAAAAGAGACATTTCAATGTCTTCTCTGCCAGATCATACCATTCATTACGGTAATGACTAAGAAACTCAACTTGTATCAATACACATGGTCCTGATAGTTTTACAATAAA